TATCAATATAAGTATGAGTATTAATATGAATGTATGTATCAATATTAATATTAGTATTAGTACAAGTATCAATATTAGTATTAGTATTAACATCAACATCATATCAGTATCAGTGTTAGTATGAGTATAAGTATATTGTATCAGTATTAGTATCATTATTAGTATCAGTAGTAGTATCAATATCAGTATAATTATCAATATTAATATTAGTAGTAGTATCAATATTAGTATCGGTGTGAATATCAGTATGAGTATTAGTAGGGCTGTGCATGGATCGGTTTTAACCACCAACCAACCCATTTTCGACCCACAATTTGTGATGGTTAATCAACCATCAACCGACCCATTTAAGTTGAGTCGATAATGTCAACCAACCCATGTATAGTTGGATCGATAATGGTTTCTAATATGCTAAAAAGTTGGTTAGTTGGTTAATATCGGCCAACCAACTTTATTCATTAATTTATTAGTTATTAATTTTAATTAAAATATTTAATACTTTTAATTTCAAATTTCTATTTTATATCACATTTATTAAATTGTCTAATATTGACCAAAATCCTAAAAGCAATAAATCTAACTAATTATCTAATTTGAACTATTTTAATTTTAAGACATATAGTCTAAATATTTGGACGATTATTATTTGTTGAACTATTTATGTTTAATTGCAATATATATGACCGTAATGTTTTGAATCTTTTATTTGAATATCGTTGAGCTAGTTGCATTTAATTTATAAAAGATATATCGTTGTAACAAGTAATAAAATATTAAAAAAAAAATTAAAAATATTTAGATGGATAACCCATCAACCAAACCACCAACCAACCCATTAAATTGGTTTTCAACCATCACCCAACCCATGTAAATTGGATCGATAACGGTTTCCAATATTTACCAAAGTTGGTTCGATGGGTTGGGTTGGTTTTATGACTGATTTTTAACCAAACCAACCAACGCACAGCCCTAAGTATTAGTATTAGTATTACTATTAGTATTAGTATAGTATTAGTATTTTTCCTTTTTGTTATCCAACCGGAATAGGCGACTAATATTACTTGCAATGTTGTTTACAAGGAAGTTTTTTAGGGAATATGAATGTACATCAAATGTTGTATATTGTGATTCAGATACACATTTATTATTTGTATTATTTATATGTATAACTATTGTCGTGTTAAGTTTATTTGTAGTTTATGCTGATTTTATTGTCGACTCCATTGAAGTTTTTTTTTTTTTTTTTTTTTCTAAATCAATGTAATTTGGTAATAATTGTATTTATTTCTTACACTTTCAGGTAATTTATGTTTCAGTAATGTGTATCACATATTGCATTTGAACAATGAAAAATGTGCATGTTACTCGCAAGGTATTGGATGAGTTATAGGCAATATCAATGCATGTGTTGTAATACACTACTTTGATAATTAAGTTTTCTGTTAAGGATCCGACTGTATGGGTCAGATAATGTATCTTATTTTCATTTCACATTTTTTCGTATTTTATATTTTCTTTATCATTTATTTTGTTTATCTCGGTACTTCAATTAAATGACATTGATATTATTTAGAAAAAAAATAGATTATACCGTATTATATGTCAACTATTCAAGGTTTTCGTTCAATTATTTTATCTAAAAAATATTTTCATTTTTTATATTACCCCCATGCATCGCATTAAAATCCTCTTTTCATTCGCAAAGGTGTTTGATTTACATCATCGACGAGTTTTAGCCATTAAAAAAATTTGAACTTAGAATTGATCCCCGTGCATTGCACGGGTGAATTACTAGTTTAAACTAAAAGTTTAAATTATTAGTGATGTTGATCGATTGAATATTTATTAACTCTACAAATCACAACCATTGCATTGAAAGTCAGTTAATTTCAATAATTTGAAATTGACATAATTGATAAATTAATCAAATAAGTAAATAACATTTACAATCCTCTAAAAACAAATACATTTATATTCAATTGGAGCTAACTACTACCACCTATTTTACATCTAAACTATGTTCAAGTCAATTCATTTTCCTGATATATTTTGACTTCCCACTCCTCATATTTTAGTGTTCATATAATTAAAGCTATCTTTAAAATTTCACATATATAAAAAAAAAAAAAACAAAAAACAATTAAAGAAGTAGTTAGTTAGTACAAGCATTATTATGTGTCATTAATTATTAGACACTTGTAATTCTCAAAGTCAATGTATTAATGTTTTGTAGTACTGTTATGTATCTACTTTTTGCTAATTTTTCTTTAAATTTTAAATTGATTTGGTCCAAGACAATTTCCACTGTACATGACAGCATAACATGTGACATTATTCCTGAAAATTTAGAATTTGGCCATATTACTAATTCTTTGACTTTTGCTAAGAAAATATCTTTGGACCACAATTTGACCATCTATTATACTTCCAATGTAGTGCAAAGATCTGGGTTGGGGTAGGTTGGTTTCGACTTTCAATCCAGCAACCAACTCATTACTGACCACAATTCTAGACCGATTTACTCTTTTAAAGAACTATTAGATCGGGTCGTGAAAATTTACCAACTCATCTATATATTGATCGGTCAATCAACTATGTTACGAAAATTTTATTAAAAAAATTTAAAATAAAGGGTGTGGTTTTTTGAAGTGGTTATTGAAATTATCAAAATAAATAGTATTTTTAATTAAAGAATAAATATTACCAAAGAAAAGAAAAGTTAACATACATCGTCCACCAGAATTTCAGAATGCGCATGTTTGGAATTAGTTTGAATTTCAAAATTATATTTTTGTGTGGAATTGCTAGTAATTATTTTTAACGGATGAATAATGATGGTGCAGTGCCACTAAGGAGAATGTGCATATTTTTACTCCAAATTTTGGATATTTTCAAGTGAACTAGGTGGCGGCCGGTAAACCAATCAACCGACCATTTCGGAACCAAATATTCGGTTGCTAACCATCAGCAGATCCACAAAGATTGGGTCGGCAATAATTTTCAAATTTGAGCAAAATTAGTTTGTTGGAGGAGTCGATTTTTAGGCCGGTAATTGACCGAACCAACTCAGTCCCAACCCTAGCCAGACTCACAAAATTTGTTCTCAAAATGAAATTAGTACTACTTTCATGAAATTTGCATATGCTAAACCACTAATTTAGTGCCATTTTTTTTTACAATAAGTAGCTAAACACGTCAAAATTATTGCACTATATATACCCAACAATCATAAATATATAATAACTCAATCATATTAGAGACATAGTTTTACTAGTAACTAATTTATCATTTGAATGTACATTAAATTAAAAAAAAAATAATAATCCTGGAGATTAAATTGTTACACTTCCACATTCAATCATATATATTCGATAACGATGTTTTATATGTCTCTCTTGCCTAATTAATTATAATTATCATATGGTCGTTGTAGATTGAAAAACAATGGCAATTTGGTAGAATTCGTCGTAATTAGTAATTAATTACATTAATTAATTAGGTCAGACTGAATAATACATCGACTGTGCAAGAGTATGAATGGCATGGCTTAAAATCTTGTATTCACATCTCATAAATGTATACAATATTACGCAGTGCTTCTTTTCCATGATTAGGTGAGAAATGCCTTCAACATTTTGAAACTATATATTTGACTTATTAAATACATAAAATAAAATAAAAGGACAAAAATTACATCATTTTTCAAATACTAAATATGGACCCGCCTATTGCACTTGTTTAAGTACTTTTCTTTTTTCTTTTTTCTTTTTAATCTAAAGACAATTAAGTAATGTAGACTTATATAATATACTATCATTTTCCCCCATGCGATGCACGGAAATGTATACAAAATTATTAATACAAACCCATTCCAAAAAAATATATAAATTTAAGGTCATAATATGAAATTGATCATTAAATAAATGAAGCAAAGATGAATTAGAGAAAATAGACAGAAAAATAGGAGATGAAAATAACGATAACAAATAAAAAGGATGTAGTGATAGTTGATTACGACTGTGCTAGTCGAGATTTGGTGTGAAAGTAATTAGAAAAAAAGTCGCAGCAATATATATATATATATATATATATATATATATATATATATATATATATATATATATATATATGTTGATTTTTCACGTACACATGTGCACGTACTTTAACAAGTAATAAAGTGGACTCGTGAGTCGGGATTTTTCTACTATATTAATACAACATAAATTAAAAACCTGCAAATTGAAATTAATATAAATGCCACTTTCAAGAGAGGAAGTTTCTTATTCTTATTATCATCATTCATACCAAAAAAACTAAAAATAAAATAATAATAATAATATTTGCAGGGCCTCTATTTACACTACTTTTGTACACCTCATTTATGGAGTCAATTAAAAAAAAAAAAAAAAAAGCATAAGGTTCTGTTTGCTAATTAGAAGACCATTGATCTGGTACTGTAAGAAAGTAAGTTGTCATTGCTTTCCTAAATCTTTTCTTGTACTGTTTGGGTGAAACAATAGTCGGAGAAGCATTCTTCGGTCCACCGAGTATTCCCGACGCTTTCACCCACGTCTCCAAATGCTTGTCCCATGTATATTGTCTCATAAAATCTATTATCCCGATCACCATTTCCTTTCTCTCTTCATCCACTCCCACTAGCAACGAGTAATCCATCACATCCACCGACTACCCAAAAACAAACACAAAGAAACGAGCATAAAAATCGTTCATTTTCTAAACCATGCATAATAATATTGATTAAAAAATTTTAGCTTACGGCTAAAAATGAGGTGTCATTCCAAACGGCTCGCTCGAGGATTCTCTTGGCTTTGCTTCCAAGGAAGATAGGATTCGTACGGAGTGTTTCCAATAGATTTGTGTCTAAGAGAACTTTGTTAGCACCCGTTGTGTCGGAATTGTAACGGGATCTTACGGACCCCTTTAGGTCGTACACTTTAGAAATGCTTCTTCCGAAGAAAAGATTCTCCATCACCATCAAATCCATCTTCACTTCCTTCCCGCCTCTCATGTGTTTCACCGTAACCTATACAATTCATCAAACACATCAAATTTTGAAGTTAATTATCGTAAAAAATTCATTTTGATTTTCGATTTTTCTGAAACCTTCTAAGATCAGAATTGGAATATATATGAGATTCCAATTTCCAATCCATATAGTTTCCTTAATTAATTCTGAATTTTTTTATTTACTTTCGAAAGTTACGATTATAATATCAATATTATTCTGTATTTTATATTTAAGGTGACTAAAAATTGGAATTTTTCGAATTTCGTCCGAAAATTTCTGATTTTGGAACTAATTTTTTTCATTCGATAGTCCAATTTCCAATTTTGTAGTTTGAACGGAATTGGTTTTACGCTTCCAAAAATAATCGGAATTTTTCACCCCTACTAATCATAAAAAGTGAATTTTTAGGGTGTTTTAGTTAATAAAATGAAAACACGGGTGCCCAATGGACTAAACCCTAAAATGTACAATCCCGAAAGAAGAAGAAGATAAAGAGTTGTGTTATTTGCACCTGATATATGCCAAGAACTTTTGCAAGTGAAGTCGGACTTCCCGAGCTAAGAGCATCCGTCAAATACTTAAAATATTCAGGTGCAAATTCTTCAAACGAGTCCAACTCCGTTTTCGTCACCTGTTTAATCACAAACCGTTCGTCGAACGACTTTGCGAAATAAACATTACTCTTGCCGCCTTGGGCGCTCCATCTCCTACAACGGCTCAACGAACGAATAAAATCCACTTCACCCGGACAACACTCCCCCCTAAGAGAATCGAATCTCTTCGCGTAATAACAAGTGACGGAAAATTTCACTTTCGTCGCTAAATTCGAAGATTCGTCCTCGAAAGAAATTCGAACATGAGGAGAACTATTACTACTGTGATCCGTAGCTTCTTCGGAGGTATAGCTTCTGGTGTAGTTTATGTAGTCCAAATCCATTGAACCAAATGAATGCCATGTCGAAAGATTAGAGGCTAGCGAATTCACCTTTCTGATAGGCCCGTTTGGCCGATCGGAAATCCAATCTTCGTATTTTTTGGAGCTAAGTGCGTAAGATATTATGCTGGTCGGCTCTTTATCGAAAACGGTGAGAACTACATCGTTTTGTGGGACCATCAATCTCGCTCCATCGGGCAAAAGAGAAGTCGCGGAAGAGATAAACGAAGAGGGAGAAAGGTTTAGCCTTTCGGATTCACGAAGCGATCCTTGAGAAAAAGTCCTCTGTACGTGCGCCACAGGATCCCTTACCATGGACCTGTAATCTCCCGAAGCGTGAAAAGATCGAAGGGTGGACAAGTAGAGAGACGAAGGTGGGAGCCCTTTGCTCATTCTTTCTTGGAGCCTCTGGGCAGAATCGAACGAATACACCCTAGTCGGCGCCATATTCGGTCTTGTATGACTTATTCGTGCGAACGAGGGCGGTGTTGTTGTTTCGGCGGGGTCAACGTTCGGTGGTGCCACGTCAGCACCGGACCATGCAGAATCTATCTTGTCCGAAAGGATCGATGCTGCCGACGGAAGCCGTTCCAACGGTGCGGTGTTTTCATCGACGTAGTTTTCGTTGGAGGAATAATCCTCTGGTTTCGCGTACTCGAAAATGCTATCTTCACTACCAAGGACGTCGGTGGTGGAATCTTTGAAATACGTGTCGGAATATTCCTTCGATCTAGCAAGAGAGGCAACGTCGTTGAGACTGGAGCTTCTCTTGAGGAGGGAGTCCAGCGAATATATTCGGCGATCCCAAACTTGTGAGCTTATTACAAGAGAGTGCCTTAAACGGTTAATTTCAAGAATGTCCAAGGCTGCTTGATCTTGTTCTCTGATATTTTCGTCGGCTATTTGGAGCATGTTCTGTCGAGAATATAAATCAAGAGGAAGTCAGATAATAAACTTACTAAAAATCATGAATTTTAATTATTAACTGTGCAATAATATTGTTACTTACTTGGTAATAACTCTTTTCTTCGAAAAGGATGTCGTCTAGCTCCAAAACATGTCGGTGTAATTCGCTTGCATCGGAAAATTCATCCATAGCGGATAAGCTTTTCGCTTTAAATTCCTCGAGAAAATCTGATATCTCTGCATGCAAATCTCTTGCTTTGCTTGAAAGCTAAGACAATGATGACACGAACGAGAGAAATTATTAGGATGGATGGTTTTTCAAAGATTTATTCCAAACGAAAAGAAAATTAGAAAAAAAAAAAAATCTTTTTTTTTTTATAATTTAATAAAATATATGAGAACCTCGTACGCTTCTCTTCTTATCCACATTTGTTCGCCAGTGCCACCGAATTCAAGAATCGACGGGGGCAAACGGACAGAAAGGACATTAATAGTAGAATATCTGAAGAAAGCAACCATACTGCCACAACTGTCGAAAAAAGAATAAAATCGTTATCTACAAAACCGAAAAAAAAAAAAAAGAAAAAACAATATAAAAATTGATTCAAGTGGAATACGGTGACACACACCCGTAAAATCTGAGGCAGTCCCTTTGAAGCGAATGGCCACAGCTGGCAACACGGTTGCCAGTCGAATGATTAGAAAAACTAAGTTCGAGAAATTTGCCGAAAGAAAGTCCCCATGCAGAATCGGACATAATAACTCTTCGATTGGCTTGTGGGACCCCCTCTATATATTCACACTTAAGGCATCTGTGCCACATCCATATTTTGCCATCCTGCTCGCCGGGAAGCTTAACCGACGGTAGTCTTTTTACGTTTATCGTAACATTCGCATGCTGGTGTGTGTAACACATCACATGGGCTTCAGCCGATTCCTTACACGAACGACATTGATTCGACTGCCCATACAAAATTTTCATCAGCATAAAAAAAAAAACAAAAAAAAAAAGATTGTAAAAATAGGTTAATTAGTTAGTTACCTGATTAAATAAATCGTCTCTGAGATATCTTCCGAGTGGCTTATCAGAAGGGCCGTAGAATTTTAACCGAATGAGGCGCGACCGCTCGCATACGGTTCCATTCGTCACGCAGTGGCTCGAGAAAGAGACTAATATGCTGTGTGGAGTATCGTCGAATTTTAACGGAGATTCTACTTCGTGATTTTGCGGTTCCGTCGCGTTTTTCAATGCTAAATTCTCGTCGCATGCCTCGTACAGCGCTTCTCTGTACGTAAATTCGTTCGGGGAAGAAATGTCTTCGTCTTCGTAATCGAGTTCGGATAGGGATTCGTTTAGTCCAAGATCCAACGCAAGATCGGTCGACGATTTGGTTGACGAGTATTTAGGAAGCGTGGCGCCCTCGTCCGAAAGAAACGAGGTCTCGAGCGATAAATGATACGCTGCAAAGACAGCATACTGGACCACCTGTTTCACCTTTTTGAGCTCCTCTCGACTCGAGCCCCGCAGTACAATCTACACAAATTTGTTTTTTTATCAAGGCACGGAAAATTATAAACACTACTGCAATCAATATACATAACACGACTCGAAAAAAATAAAAAATTATATTGCAGAGAGTTTAAAAGTAGAAGTACCGTGCAGCCTAAACGCCTTGGACAACCTTGGAAAAACATCAACGTTTTCGACGGTTTTTTGTTGAATTGATTTGGCGGCTCGTGTTCTTCCGAAACTTTCTCCAAGTGGAATAGCTCGCAGTGACCCAACCTTGCTGTCGATATATGATTGGTCGTTGGGGTTACACTAGCACCGCTACACCTAGCGATCCTTTCCAACAACGGTCTTTTAACATTTAGAACTAACGAGATTTCTTTTTCTAGGAGATGCTCTAACGCAAACGAAGACACACTTTTCTCCACGAGAAGTACATTTGGGCGATGGGCCTCTATCCTCGAAACTATCGTCTTCAGATAATCATTTTCCTGGTTCGTAAATCACGAGCGATGTTGGTGATCGTAATTGTGAGGAAAAAAGGAAATGAAAATAAATAAGAAAATTTAATATCGAAACCTGTTGTAGCAATGTCTCGAAAGATTCTAGCTGATTGGGAACTCTTTGGTATTCGAGTGCTCCTCCTAAGAGAAGTAGCCGAGCGTTTTTGTATTGGGACGTCATTCGTTTGTGTTTTATGTTCTTTGTACAAACTATTCCTTTTATAAGTTTGCTGCATAAGAGGAAACAAAAACTTACACTCTCGGATACACCAACAACAACAAGTAAAATAAACCAATATAGAAATAAATGTTTTCGATTTCTGAAATGCAAAATGTTGTTTCAATTTTACCGGTACCGTCTCATTTAATCACCAAATTAGCTGATTCAAGTTGGACTAGAAACCCAATTCAAAGGGCTATAATCTTGATGTTTTGAGTTTTCCCGAATTCGGACCGTAAAACGGTCAAAATCACGTTTGAATTAGATTTATTGTGGGTTTTAGGGCATGTTTGTTCATTCATGCATAACTTTCGCACTCGACATCCAATTTAGCTGATTCAAGATGGATTAGAAAACCAACTCAAAGGACTATAATTTGATCACTCTTTGAATTTTGCCAAATTCAGACCGTAAAGGGATCAAAGTCACATTTAAAATCGAAACACTAACGATAAACTAAAATTGAAACGAAATTAAGTAACTCCCATTCAAAGACGCAACAAAACAAAAAAAATCATCTTCGTATAAATAAGAAGATGAAAAAATAAATAAATAAACAAACATGATATTTACCTCTCCTTAGGAACTCCGGAAGCTACACATTTGACCTTCAAATAGTCACACGGATCCATGCTACCACCTCCACTCGTATCGGGCTTTACAAATTTTGCAGATTGCCATGCGATAGCTGTCACTATATCGAGCCAATCGTGGGCCCCGTTATCTTGGTCAGAAATTACACCCTGCCCTTGCAAAATCTGCGACACGAGAGCTCGAAAGTGACCCTCCACAGCACCTCTCCAAGGTTCCACGTCATCACGACTCTTCTGCTTATCCCTGTCTGAAAACAAGGCATCGTCAATACCGGCAGCACTAGGCAAGAACACGTCACCCGATTCTCCGACATCATCGTCCTCGTCAGCGTACGTGAACAATCCGTTTTCCACCTCATCGCTGATATCATCGGCCGGAGGAGGAAACCAGATCAGAGTACCGTTGGCTTCGAAATCCAATGTTTGTTGTGGAGGTGTCTCTTTATTACCGGCAGGGCTTTCTAAAACAGCCTGCTCGTTATCCAAAGTGTAAAATTCATTTTTAGCACTAATTGAATCTACGTCGGAATCGTCACGGAAGTATTCATATGGGGTGCTCAAGAAGTGACTCGTCGAATTCTCTCCCTCTTCTTCGTCGCTCCTACATTAACAATCGTGATAAAGATACAAATATATTAATAAAGAATTACTTCTTCAAAGACTCTCCCTCCATTACACTTTCATTGTCGTTTTTCACCTTTGACAAATTTTAAAAATCTCAGTAAATGTGGCTTTGTTTTAGAAATTCTTAGACTAAAATACCCTTGTCTACATAAGAAATGAGTTGCAATTACTAAGGCAGAAGAGAGTGTTGGAAAGAGTTAGTAAGGGTATAATTGGAAATTATGTAATTGATGCAGTATTGGATTTTTTTTAAAATGACAGATAATATGGAACAAAAACAATTATCTAAAGTGACAGAAAATATGGAACGAAGGGAGTATTTTCAATAATCGAAGAAACCAATTAATAAAACACTATTGGATTTTTTTTAAAATGACAGATAATATGGAACAAAAACAATTATCTAAAGTGACAGAAAATATGGAACGAAGGGAGTATTTTCAATAATCGAAGAAACCAATTAATAAAACACGAGCTCAAAATATCGCTTAATTTCAAGATCAACGAGAGAGACAATATCTACATGAAGAAAAACAATTCGAACGGTGCAATCGAGATATACATGTATCGTAACAACAAATAAAAAATTTCACCTAGTGGCATAATTGTAATAAACAAGACGGGATGATGGTCACCTGATTGTTGAGCAACGAAGCGACAGTGGAGAATCACCACTAAAACTCGGTGACGGAGGTTCCGGGCTTTGTCTAGGAGACTCGGAAGGATGGACTTTACCACTATTATATCTTTGACCGCTTTTACTCAGCGGACTCAGTTCGAAACAGAATTTGCAAGATTTGACCGTAAGAATCGACTCGTCAAAAGATGCAAGTGCTTGAATACAGTTCCTGCACAACAGACTTGCGCAGTTTTGACAGTGGTATTTGATGTCGGATTTTAACATGCTGCTCTTGCAATGGCAGCACGTGTTTTCCATCGTCTCAAATAAACGGAGTATCGAATCCGAATCACTATTACCACAAGGTATCAAAGATCTGACCTTCTGTATGAAATACAGAAGCGAAGAATCATACATTCCCATAAACCACCACCAATATTTTGCAACACATAACGGCCGAAAATCGATATAATTTACGCTACTTCTATCAAAACCCACAATAAAAATGGTGGGTTTATTATCCCTATAACCTTGGGGTAGTGTAATTATTATTTTTTTTTTATTTCCTTGTTCCCCTTAAACCCCTTAAAAATCAGAGGAGTATGTATGTATACCACCAAAGAAACAGAAGGAAACTTTACTTCCCAAGAATTCACAAAAATAAAATCCAGACGATATTTACAATTACACCCCCAATGTTGAATAATCAATGATGGGAAGATTGGAATGAATAATCAATCACACAACAGCAAACAGTAAAAAGGGTTGTTCTAAATTCTTGAAACAATTAAAAAAAACACCCTTCCAAATTAAAAACCCCTAAAAATTAGGTCAATCCAAGATTGGTTCTTTCTCTCACAAACGCAACACGAGATCCAGAGTTCACATCCAAAAACCCAGAAAACCTAGATCAAATTAGTTTCCCTATAATCAAACAGTAAAACCCAAATCAATTAAAAATGAAAAAAAAAAAAAATTCCACCAGCAACAAGGTTAAAATCAAGAAAGCTCCTGAAATTTAGAACCCAGATGAAAAAGAATGGTGGGTTTGTTTCAGTTATGGAGTTTGGGTAAGGAAAATAATTTAAAGGATGAAGAGGATGAGAAAGAAGAGTAGGAAAAGAAAAAGCACAGAGAAATCTCTTTTTCTAGCAATGGCGGAAGCTCGAATCTCCATAACCATAATTTCTCTCTGTTTCTTCACCAACAACATAAACTGCTGTTTCTCTCTCTTCCCCGGCAGCATACCTTTCACTACCTCTCCTCAACAACATTAAAATATTCATCTATATTCTCTCTCTCTCTCTCTCTCTCTCTCTCTCTCTCTCTCTCTCTCTCTCTCTCTCTCTCTCTCTCTCTCTCTCACGCACACACACACTTTCTATTTTTTGGTGTATGTACATGCACATAAATACTTGTGTATAAAATCCGCCATCTTTTTTTTCTATGGCAAAATACAGTGTGTTTCGAAACTTATCTTTCACAGGGATTTCATTATTTCATGTAATGAAAGTGAAATAATAATACATGTATGTAATCTGATCCTTGTATTAGTGTCAATGCCTTTTCAAAATTAAAAAAATAATAAATTAATTAATAAATAAAATAAAAAGATTAGTGTCACTGCCTCTTCAGCTATTGGTCAGCATGGTGATTTATTTAATATTATTTCATTAATTAAATCTGGTAATTGAATGTTTGGAGATGCTATTGGTCAGAAATAGTGTGTGATGAGAGGGGTTAAGTTAGATTTAGATTTTATAGACTATTTACTTAGTCAACCTTTTTGCATGCTAAAAGTCAATTGTCAAAATCAAAAATTAGGTGTGGAGGGTAATATCGTAATTTGTTGATTTTATATTTACTGAAACGCCTCGTAGTTTTGTTAGTGAATAAGTCTCTCACCTTCTGAAATGTTAAATACATCGTTGAATCTGCCCCCTTTTATTTTCAATTCAATTGACTCGAGTGATTTGAATCAATTGACTCGAAAGGAAGTGCGGATATAGAGAGTGACAGAGATAATTGAATCAGTTAACTTTTTTTTTTTTTTTGAGAAAATTGAATCAGTTAACTTAACTGAGTGAAATCAATTGGCTCCTTATAAGGGTAAATTGACAAAATAACACCGCGAGAACTTAGCTCAAATTAAATCTAAATATTGGACTTTAGTCGGAACCTAAATTAGTGTTTGTCATGTTCTTAAAATAGCGACACTTGGTGAGGGATTTGTCACTAATTTTCTATAAAATAACATAACAATGATATCATTATTAAAACTCCTTAAATATAGAAATTATGCATGGTATTTTATTTTTAATAGACAAATATACTAGAATGCATAAATAATGATAGAAAAACCTAGTAACAAAATCCACAAATCCCCACTTGGGGAGTTGGAGTTATGTAATGCAAAGTTGAGTTATTAATTGTAAAAAAAAAAAAAAAAAAAAAATCATATTGTAATTAATTGAGTTATTAAAAGTTGAACTCAATCGATTAATTGACAACTTTTACAGTTTACTTAATAATATATTTGAATGTGTGCATGCGGTTCGAATTGTTTCGATGAGTTGTAAAATTACGTTTTAAGACCTATACGAGAAAATAATAATAATAATAACAATATAAAATTGACAACTTATACTACAACCGCTTTAACAATTAGTGTTCAATTTGTGCATTGAATAATAAATTCAATTTTGTGAATAGTTTTCAAACTATGCCAGATGTGTAAGCAAATTTTGTTTTCTTCTATAAACTATTTGTAAGTGGAATCGAATTGAGAGGATGTTAGGCTAAACTATTAAAAAAACTTATAAGATATTTAACAGCTTATAAAATTTTAAAAATCCAAAAATTAAGTTGATGAAAGCTAATAAGATATTTTTTCAAATGTAACCCTACACCATTTTATTGTTTAGGATCTTGTAACGAGTACTAAAAATATTCAATAATAGTTTATGGGCTCTTAAAACAATTTATCAGACGTAATAATTTATAAGTTGTTTAAAATAAGTTTAATCGAGCGGGCTCTATATCACTCGATCTTGATTGTAGAGTTTTTAGTTTTAATAAAAAAAGACACTTGTGCAACTTGGTATTTTAAGATTAAGGAATAAGGATAAAGTCGTCCAACTGTGGCTATGTATTTATTTATTATGAGATAATTCTGCCCATCTATACTTTTTTGATGGGATTTATTCTATTGTGTTCTATAATTCAATTCATAATTCAATGTAGATAAAATAATTTATCCTTAAATTCAAGGGATCTTTATATGTGTATATATATGATCAATTTTGTCGGCTTTTGTTGTTTATAGGGTGTTTTAGGGCTAAAAACAAATTGCATTATGGTACTATTATCAGTGTTGCATATATTTTATATTCTATAACATGCGCCAAAGTGTCTTATACCGTTAAGTCATATTAAATAATCAGTCATTTTTCAAAGTTGATTGACCGTCGCATAAGATGTTGGACAATATCGGGCGAAAATACCCTCTAATTGTGTATAAAAGATGTACGTTTTTCTTTCTCTCTTGTACTCAATTTGCATCCAATTTTATTTTCCACAACCTAAAAAGTTCGTATAAATTTATGAAAAATATCATATTCTGAAAATTATTTATAATTTTCTTTTAAAACTATGGAATTTTGCAATTATGTTCTCATCCTAAAAATATCACCCAAAATTTATGATTTCTTTTATTATGGATAATATTTTAAAATACCTTTTTAATTTCTTTTATTAATTTCATTTTCAGCCCAAGAATTCTCGATTTATAATTCTTTCCGTAGTTCTAATTCTCAAAATTCATGCATTTCATTTTTTACGTCCAAACACGACATGTTATATTTTTCTAGAACCACTTGCCGACGTAACCGGAGGGTTACGTAATGAACAAAAAAATATTGTCAAGTAATAAAGTAAAAAAAAGAAAACCTATTTATATCATATAAATGTAAGGGTAAAAAGGTAACCACGTTACCTAAAGTAACGGTGATAGGAATTTGAGGGTTGACGTTAAGTTGAAGGGCCAATTTGTCGCATTTTATAATACATGAGGGTATACGCAAGACACTGAGGAGAGTATAGGGGTGCAATTTGTATTTAACCCTTGTTTCATATTCATAAATATTGCTTTAATTTAATAACCTTTACGAATCAAGTTAAGTTATATTTCTGATCGAAAAATCTCTGACGTGTATTCTTGATTTTCTTTTATGTTCTCTCGTGCGTACATTAATTTTGGTCAATTAAAATCAGCTAATTAATTTATGAATATTGCCTTAGTTACATGTTATTAGAAATAAATGGTTTTTCTTTTACGGTCAAAAAATGACTACCTTGTGCATTTTACTTTATCATCTACTATTTCTTTGTCAAAGAGGCTACATGATTTGCATTTGACAAATTAATTTCTAATATTGTTGATTGTTTGCGACTTTCTTGAAAAATCATACAAAATAAATTTTAGGGTCCATCTAAATTGAATGATTTGATTAAAGGAATTTGAAAGAATGATATGGATCGACTCCAATTTAGCGTCATTTAAAATCCACATTGATTGTTTTATTTATAACTAAACAGAAGGGGTGGGAATTTGAAATCCATCTATCCTCAAATCTTTCAATTCAAACAAGTCCGACGGATTTTTTATTATGGATTTGAAATCCCTTTTTCTAATCATTCCATCCAAGTGGATAGTGATGATGCTAAAATTAAATCACGCTAAGTAGTTGAGTTGGAAAATCAAAGTGGCTCACTGGCTCACGAGCTTTATGATCTTGAGATACCTGCGATCAAAGAACACGTAAACTGAACGGAGTTTGATTCGGCGGAAACCCCTCCGACACTCAAGTCATGTGTGTGAATAGTAAAAGTTGTAGAGAGAATACGAGCAGTTATATAGTTCGAATATTGCACGTACCTTAAGGAATGATAAAACATTTATTTATACCTCATTGATTGAGTTGAAGTTTAATTAGTTGAGGTTGTTGGGACACAAACCTTATTTCAAGGTGATTGAGTTTCGTTATGAGTGGTTCAATATTGGGATCATTGCCTAATAGATAAACAAATTATATGCCCATTAGGTTGGTCCATTATGCATATCAGATACTAACTTCTTAATTTTGAACGTGTGTAAGATAATTATAAATTTATACATATGTGCTGATAAAATTTACCAGAGTTGCATACAACAAATATTTTAACAATTCCCTCAATAAATTATTGATTTGAAGAATACATATTTTTTCAATTGTAAAAGTGCTCCAAACATGAATGATAATCAAAGCGCACCATTAATGTAACCCCCCATTCTGTCGTTCCAACATATTTTTTTTCAACGGGAAGAAAATGCTATATATCTATTATTTCCAACTATACTTTTTTTTGTTACGACAGAATCTGCCACAAATCTTATAGATGCATTGAGTAAACGTACACTCTTGTATAATATCTTGTAAATCTGTGTCAATTGACTCAGTTGCTCCGACAACTAGGCCTAACCTAAGCTCGACAAATTATTGC